GATAAGAAAAGAAAAGAAAGGGAAGGAAGTACTGATCGGCTGTGTGTGTGTGTGTGTGTGTGTGTGTGTGTGTGTGTGTGTGTGTGTGTGAGACACGTGCTGCTATGTGAGGCGGGTTGATGAAAAATGTACTGAAGATAAGAAAAGAAAAGAAAGGAAAGAACTACTGATCGGCTGTGTGTGTGTGTGTGTGACATGTGCTGCTATGTGAGGCGGGGTGATGAAAAATGTACTGAAGATAATATAAGAAAAGAAAGGAAAGAAGTACTGATCCGATGTCTGTGTGTGTGTGTGTGTGTGTGACATGTGCTGCTAGGCGCCGGTTAATGAAAATGTACTGGAGATAGAAAAGAACAGAAAGGAAAACAAGTACTGATCGGTTGTGTGTGTGTGTGTGTGTGCGTGACATGTGCTGCAATGTAAGGCAGTTTGATTAAAATGTAGTGAAGATACGAAAAGAAAAGAAGGGAAAAAAAGGTACTGATCGGCTGTGTTTCACGCACGAATGATTTGCAGGTTCCAGTGAAGAAGATTCCGTGCTCTCGGATAGGTCGTCTTTTGTCACTCGAAAAAAAAGAAATCGGGCATGTGGATTCAGTGAAGTGTTTAATGCTCTTCTCTGACCTGTCGACTGGTAGTACCATCATGGACGACGAGGGGGGGAACTTGCAATGGGCCGTGTATGTGACCACAAACCTGATGACGAAATTCGTGATCACGGTCAGACCAAGCCTGACAGTCAAGGAACTGCAAGGTATATCTTTTTTATGTTTTTATTATTTATTGTTTATGTTTATTTAACTTTATTATGAATTTATTTTCATTTTTTGATATTTATATATCTGTAGATAGATCTGCTCGATGATATATTATATTATACCGGGCAGCTCTGTTTGACGATATATATTATAATAATTATATCTGTATTCTTTAGGGAAAATTGTTGAAATGCCCATAAAAGTTGGGTTATTTTGTTAGATACCCCTAAAACATGGGTATGCGGAAATGCCCTAAACTTTTGCATCTCCCCCTGCCCCGGTCAATGGCATCTTCTCCATGTGCCCTGGCCCCAGGCTAGAGCGGGCCGGTGCATTTTTTCTGCCATCTGCAGGGTCCGACAGCCAGAAATATCGGGGCATATAGATAAGTTGCCCAGGGCCTGGTAGGGGTATGTGCTAAAGATGACAGGTCCAATTGGTGAGTGGGGTATCTTGCAAAGTTTTGCAATTGTCATAGGGGCATTTCGCCATATCCATGCCTTTAAGGGGTATCTGATGTAATACCCCAACTTTTAGGGGCATTTGAACCAGTTTCCCTGTTCTTTATTGTGTATTATTGTGAAATTCAGATTTTGGGCAGGATGCTGCTGAAAAAGGAGGCTAAACCCCTAAGGCAAAACTGCTTTTTTCCATGGAAAATTCAACCCATACCCATGCTACCAGCCGGACTGCCCGGGTCACCTTGTTTTCCCGGGCGGCCCGGCCATGCAAGGACCAAAGAAGGTTCCAGCAAAACAGAGAAAATATCTGGGGGAAAAAATGTTATGCAGATAAAATAAAGTGAACAACTTCTGCCTCAGCGTCACATCGGAATTTATTTCCCAAACTTGAGATAAAAATAAATTATATGTTTATATATATACAATTAGTCGTTGATGCTTAACCACAGCCGGGGTTAAGGTGGATTATCACTTAGTGTAATCAGTTAGGGTTCAGCCTCCTGACGAGTCGGTGAAACTCCGACGAAACAGTTTGCCACAGCCCCTCGTTTGTTGTCCTCTTCTCCCTCTCTGCCTACTGTTTACCGGGCAGCTGTGTTTGACGATATATATATATTTTTTGCCTGGCCGGGCAAGTGGTTCCGTGCCACTCTGCTATCCTAGCCCCTACGCGATTTTCAGAATTTTGAATTTTCAGGATTTTCAGGGCTCTCCAGTACAGCCATCTCCCAAGGCTCCAACAAACACCATTTTTTTTTGGTTTGCTTTTTTGGACCATTTCTGGATTTATGCATGTCAATGATGCCATCCTTGCCCAGGAGCCTTGCTAATTTCTTTGTCTCGTTTCGATAAGTAAATTGATTTAAATTAAATGAGTTAAAAGGAAGATGAATTTACTCTTCTTGGCCTCTTGGCAAAAAATAGATACAACGTAGTATCTCGTGTGATCAGTTCAATATATCTGCGCCCAAAAAAAAAAGAAAAAAGAAAAAAAAACCTGCTTTGTATTGTTCCGATTCTAACGGATGTGTGGACAGATTGATGTGGGTTCTTTCTAGAGACACTTCTGCTCCGTACGCCGCACATAACTTCTTTTTTTTATTTTATAATTTGGACCATTTCATATAGGCGGGGCTCATCCTTGCTCAGGGGCCATGCTAATCTTCTCTGTTTTGTTCCAATTTTAATGGATGTCCCGAAGGACGTCCGCACAGATACTAGAGGACCTTCGAAGAAATGTTTGTTCGCTTTTATAAATAAATAAAAGGAGGGAAAAAAAGAAGCTTTCCTTTTTTCTTTTTGGAATGTCGCCTTTTTTTCCGTTCTCTTTCTTTTTTTTTATTTTCCCCTTTTCCGGTTTTGATTCATCATTCTTGAACTTGCTTCCTGCGATTCCGAGGTAGGCTTGGGAAACAGTAGTTATAGATCCGTACATCTGGGCCTAAGGCCCTCCTCCATGCAAGCACGGATTCGAACCGGCAACCTCAGCTTCAAGAGCCATGTCTCTTAACCACTACACCCAGGACACGGTGTTGTGTTCCGGTGGAAGACGGTAGCCCGCTCGCATGCACTGGCGACCTCGGCCTCAAGAGCCAAGTCTCTTAACCACTACAGTCAGGACACGAGGCCTCAAGAGCCAAGTCTCTTAACCATTACAGCCAGGACACGGTGTTGTGTTCGGGGGAAGATGGTAGCCCGTTCGCACGCGCATTGGTCTTGACTTGCCCATGGGTTCACGGGAGCCTCCACAGTAGTTATGTATCTGTACATCTGGGCCTAAGGCCCTCCTCCATGCAAGCTCGGATTCGAAACGGTGACCTCGGCCTCAAGAGCCAAGTATCGTAACCAGTACGGGGAGGACAGGACACTGTGTTCAAAAGTGGAGCCATCCTTTGAAGTAAGCGTTAAAATGGAACAGCCGCTTTGTGGTCCCTCGTCATTGCTCCAAAATGGATGAGGCAGGGCTCAAGGGGTAATTGTGTATGATTCACAACATTTGAAAGAAACTCTAGTGTGTTTGTAAATCGTCATCACTGTGTTTCCTGATTTAGCGTTTTTTTTTTTTTGGTTCCTGATATGTTCAGATTTTGACTAATTTTAAAGCAGACCCTATATGTTCAGATGTTGACTAGTTTATAAACCGGCCACCCTTCGTATAGTTTCTTGTGTCTTGTGTCTCATTCTCTCTATAGGCTTTCTTCTTTTTGGAAACCAAGCGTTTGTTTGAAAAATTTGAGCTGATGCTCATCAATGAATGAGTGGCAATCTATCCATGAAGTCCCTGCATCCATCTGTCAACTAATCAATCAATCAATCAACCAAGCAACCGACCAACCACCAGCCAATCAATCAATCAATCAATCAACCAATCAATCGAGATCATAATCAAGAGATCCATTCAAGAGCATAGCCTGTCCGTCCGTCCGTTTCCTCCCTCCCTCACTGCCTGCCTCCCTGCCTCCCTGCCTCCCTCCCTCCCTCCCTCCGTCCTCAATCCGTCCGTCCATTTGTCTCTCTCCATCTGTCCATCCGTCCATCCATTCATCCATATTCCTTCCCTCCATCGATCTTGTCCATCCCTCTGTCCATCTGGCTCTCTCTCGCTCTCCCTCCCTGCCTGCCTTTGCCTATCCGTCGTTCGATCCATTCGACTGCCCCCTCCCTCCCTCGCAAGAAAACAACCATCTGCCCCATTTCCATCCATCCAAATCGTATCTTATCCCGTCCATACAAATCCGCTCACGCCAATCCCATCCCATTCATCGGAATCCCAGCCAATCCGATTCCATTTCTTCCAAATTCAAATTCAAATTCAAATCCAAATCCAATCCAATTCCAATCAATCCACATCCACATCCACATCCACATCCAATCCAATCCAAGCCAACCCAATGCAATGCAATCCAATCTGTTCGATCCAGACAAATCCATCCCATCCCATCCATCAACTGGTCGGTCAGTGAATGGGTTGACCAACCAATGAAGCACTACACTAACCAATAATCCATCTATCAGTCAAGGCCTCCCTCCCTCCCTCCCCCTCCCCATCTCCCTCCCTCTCTCTGTCCGTCCGTCCGTCTATCCACCCCTGCTTCCACCACCCACCCACCAACAACTGGCCATTTATTCATTACGATCTCTTCGTGTGCCGACCTACGTGTATACAAAGTCACATTTTACTTTATCATAAACACTCTAGTAGGCTGTTACTTTTGCGAATTTCAGGTAACCACGGACCCCCTCAAATCGCCAGTACACTGCCCCAGCCTTGCTGCAAAAAGAAACTCGTCACCTACAAAAACTTCGGAGGCTCAGCCTACCGGACTGCAATGGCTGGCGGCGCCAGCCAGAAAAGAAAAGAAGGTGTGCCACTACCGGTTTGGAAAAGCTTGGTGTCCAGTAAGGCACCTGCTGGCCCGGACTGCGTGGCCCAGGCCAAGGCCAAAAAAAGAAAAGTAGTGAGTTTTGCATAAGTCCAAAACTTTCGGGGGCTCAGGGCTACCAGAACAATATGGTTGGCCGCCACCAGGCAAAAAGAAAATAAGTCGTGTGGCACGGGTTCATAGTTCTTTTGCAGCACGCATGATTTTGGATTGGTAAAAACAAACTCGGACATAGTAGTGGTGGATCAGACAGGACTGTCTGCATCTTGTTCGGTACCTGCCATAGCGTATGGTGCCACTTGACGTCTTGATGGTACCACCATATGGTGCCTGTTATATTTGGTGGTACCACCATAAGCTTTGGTGGAATAGGTAGCATAGGGTAGCGTATGGTGGAACTGGTACCTGTTCCACAGAAGCTTATGGTGTGGTACCACCATGTGGTAGCTTTTATCTTTCGTGGTACATGGCTTATGGTGGTGGTACCTGCCGTCTTGATGGTACCACCATATGGTACCTGTAACCCCAAGTCAAATAGGAGCCGAACGGTACAATCTCCTCAAAAGTTGTTTGTCTGGTAGCTGCAATGGTGTATGGCGGTACCTGCTATCCCTTATGGTGATACCTGCTATCTCGTTGGTACCACCATAAGCTTCGGTGGTACATGCCATCTTGTTGGGAGAATGACAATGGCCGGAAAAAAAAAGAAAAAAGAATGATAATAGGTGTTTGGTGAGGTTGAGAGAGGTTCTGATTTGGGTTTAGGGTTTTATAGGAAGGGGAGAGAAGATGTGGCGCCAGAGTGTGGCGGAAGCGCTGGGATGGCGGTCCGCCAGGATGGAGCAGGGTTGACGAAGGAGGAGGTAGAGATGGAGCTGGAAGGGACAGCGCAGCTCCGACGCAGACTCAACATGCATGTACTCCACAATGTGCAAAGTGAAGGATCATTGAAATACAGACTGCCGACTGGACTGGTACCGACAGTGGTACCGGGTAGGACTGGACTGGACTGAAAACATCACACGGCCTGGTCCCACAGGCTGAACAGGCAAATAGCCGAATAGGCCTTGGCTGTAGGTCAGGGTAGATAGAGGCCCGCTGCATGATCCTCGGGCCTGTAATGGATCGCAAGAGCCATAAACACGCTATCCG